TAAACACACACACACTAATTAGGTGTCTGAATATTAGAAACAGCCTTACAAAATATGAAATATGAAAAGAACAATTTCTGGAATCTGTTGGTTCTCCACTGAGCAAGAGTGGAGAAAGGGATAGATGAGGCATAAAGATGGGGACAGGCGATGCAATAACTATGAAAGTCACAAAGTTGTGAGGGCCAGCTTTGATAGGAATCTCTGTCAAAGAAAGAAAAATCACTGGGAAAGAGTTCTGACAGTGAGGCAGAGGCTTCACTTGGCCCCAGCCAGGGTTATTAGGTACAAAAGGCCAAGTTCCATGTTGCAGATCCAATCCAGATCAATGTTGTAGAGCTATTTCTCTCCCTGATAGCTCAGTTGGTAAAGAATCTGCCTGCAATGTAGGAGATCCCGGTTCAATTCCTGGACCGGAAAGATCCACTGGAGAAGGGATCTGCTACCCACTCCAGGATCTTGGGCTTCCCCTGTGGCTCAGCTGGTAAAGAATCTGCCTGCAAGGCAGGAGACCTGGGTTCAATCCCTGGGTTGGGAAGATTCCCTGGAGAAGCGAAAGGCTACCCACTCCAGTATTCAGGCCTGGAGAATTCCATGGACTGTATAGTCCATGGGGTGGCAAAGAGTCAGACATGACTGAGTCACTTTCACTTCATTTCTCTCCAGCACTATGTAAATAACTTCCACTGTGGTGATCTGCTGGAAACCACAAGACCAGGGCACCCCAGGGGCTCTTTTCTACTGGGTACCCTTCCCTGTGGCCAACCTACCCTACCCCACCCCCTGCCCAGAGCTCCCACCATTGGTCCACACGTGTGAACTCACACCACATTGCATCTTTAAGGATCGACCCCCTGAAACCCCCAAAGAGTAGCATATACACTCACTCACTCAAGATAAGAGCAAGACAGAGATCCAAGAGGCAGAGGCAAGGAGGCAGGAAATAAGGTGCATTTATAGGCACAAGTGTCTAGCTTTCCCAGCTTCTCTATTCCTACAACTCCTTCTACAGAATCTCAGTTCTGCTGGGGAAGGCTTCCCTGCGGGTTAGAGTCAAAACTGGATGTCTTTTCACCATGTGGCACCTGCAGGCCATGTTTCAGGCACTAATGTGCTGTAAAAATAGTGTATTTCCTTTCTAAAAAGTACACATAAGGATAAAAAGTGTGTGTGTGTGTCTGTGTATGTTCAGTTGAGTCCAATTCTTTGTCACCCAATGGACCGTAGCCCACCAGGCTGCTCTGTCCATGGCATTTTCCAGGCAAGAATACTGTAGTGGGTTCTCATGCCCTCCTCCAGGGGATCTTCCCAACTGAGGGATCAAGTCTCTTCAGTCTACCTGCACTGGCAGGTGGGTTCTTTACCACTAGCGCCACCTGGGAAGTCCACATGATAATACATATTTGCTCAAATTACAGTCATGCCTGGGATCACGTGGTTTTCAAAAGTACACAGAGATAAATGATTGTATCTTTTAATTTTATTCCCATAATCCTAGATTTGATTTGATAGTTTGAGCACAGAGATGGAGAATTTTTCTAATTACTTAGTACCTGACATTTTATTTTTCTCTAAATTTTTATCATGGAAAAATTTCAAGCTCTTAGAGAAGGGGAGCACATAACACAAGTCTCCCCATCCACCCAGGAGATCCAATTACTGCTAACATTTTGTTATATCAGCTTTACCTGTACATACTGTGGGGGCTCAGATGGTAAAGCATCTGCCTGCAATGCAGGAGACCTAGGTTTGATCCCTGGGTGGGGGAGATCCCCTGGAGAAGGAAATGGCAACCCACTCCAGTATTTTTGCCTGGAAAATTTCAAGGAAGGAGGAGCCTGGTAGGCTACAGTCCATGGGGTCGCAAAGAGTCTGACACAACTGAGAGTCTTCACTTCACTTCACTGTTTTTGCTGAATCATTTAAAATCAAGTTTCAGGTATCAAGAACCTTCAATAATTAGGCAGGCATCTCCTAAAAATAAAGTCATTCTAGCAAGCAGTGTGCTATTATTACACCTAACAATGTGAACAATAATTCTACAATATCATTCAATACATCATCATGTTGAAACTTCCTCCAAACTGTTTCACTCTGGTTAGTTGACTTAGGAGTTGATCCGGATCCATGTTTGTTATGAATATTGCTCATTTATAGCTGATTTTGTACTAGAACATTCCCACTCTTTTTCTGACACTGACATTTTTCAAGAGACCAGAAAAATTGATACAGAATGCGCTGCTCTCTGCACCTATCTGATCTTTTCTCCCTGGAATCATTTACTTTGCTGTCCAAGCCCTTCTTATAAACTAGAAAGGCTGCAGGCTTGAATTTTGATTTAACTTAAGTGTTTTTACCTAGAACACAGCATTGGTGATGCTGTGTGCTGGATTCTGCATCCTATAGTATCAGGTTGATTCGGTATGAGAGACACTAAGTTTGATCCCTCCTGAAGGCCCTGACAGCCAGATGTGTCGACTGAAAATGGAGAATGTTGTTCTTTTTCCAGTTATCTCTATGCTTCACCAATTCTCCACACCTTCATAGGGCCCTGCATAAAATCGCCTTCTCTAACTTAATTATTTCATTGACCACTGCACACTGGGAACTTCCTAATTATCCCACTGTTGCTGTGTAGTCGCTAAGTCATGTCCAACTCCTTTGCCACCCCATGGACCATAGCCCTCCAGGCTCCTCTGTCCGTGGGATTTCCCAGGCAAGAATACCGAAGTGGGTTGCCATTTCCTTCTCCAGGGGATCTTCCTGACCCTGTGGCAAAATCCACATCTCCTGCACTGCAGGTAGATTCTATACCACTGAGCCACCCGGGAAGCCCAGTTCTTCCATTACTTCTGCATTTATGAAACATCATTCCTCTGGAAACAGCTGTCCCTGCAGAGGGGAAGACTTTCATCTAGGGAGAACTGGTTCTCTCCAGAAAGTCATGAGAGAATGTGGTCTCTTAAGAGTTGTGTGGGGGTACAGAGGGCCCCCCCCAGTCAAGGCCCATTGTCTGATCTTTAAGGGAAGGGGGAGTAAGCAGGGTTGTGCACTGGGCCAGTGAGAGGGTCGTGTGTGGATAGAGCTGCTCAGGATGGGAAATCTTTGCGGAAAAGGAGTTTCAGATATGCCTATATGTCAAATCCTCTCATCTCCCTTGGACACCTGCAGTTGAATCCCACAAGTTTTCAGGCTTCTGGAGTCCAGGTCCTGATGCTGGTTTTGGAGGCATCACTAGGCCTCAAGGTTGCCCTTGGTGATGTCAAGATTTCAGACATTGTCCAGTGAATGAAGACATGGACACCAATCAAAACAAACCTCATAGTGCATTTTTCACAACACAAAGCAACTAATTGAACAGACTTGTTGATGAACTAACTGATTGTTTTGGTCAGTTGTAGGCACCATGGCCAGTACTCTGTCTTTTTACCCCGGTCATGGTGATTGGCTGAAAATGCATGATCTCTCCTCTCTTTTTCCTGACTTGCTGTTGTAGAAGTGGAAAGATGAAAACACACTTGATTCCCCTTATAATTCGGAGCAGAAATGGCTTCTCAGAGCTTGCACAGGATACTCTGAGCCAGTTTGGAAGGCGACCAGAGGGAACTCAGAGTAGATTAAGTGGAAACAAGGAACGGGCAGCACCAACCCTCCACTGAACCCAAAAACCAACAGCGATCTGCAAACCCATACTAACACCCCTTTTTCTCCAGGGCTGGGGTTTCTCAACAGGGACCAACTCAAAAGGCAGGCAGAAGTGCTGGAAACTTGTTCAGTCCCACCCCTAATGGGCATTTGCTCCCAGCTCAAGGGGAAGGATGCTTGGGGCTCCTTCCCTAGAAGCAAGAGAGCAAATCACACACAGGTAACTGAGCAACTCCCCAACTTGCTCCAGGGACCCATGTAGTCCCAGTCCCCACCTCCCAGGAATGCACAGTCTTGCTTTGATAGCAGACCTTCTGGTTCCTTCTTCCTGCCTCTCTTCTTTTCCTCCTAACCCTTCCCCCGCCCCCGCCCCCAACTGCCCACCTCTTTCTTTCTCCCTCCCCCTAGAAGCTTGGAGGGTTGGTTCTGTGTTCACTTACTCAGGACCTTCACTTTCCCTGTCCAACAGAGTTAGTCGTCCCCTCCCTGGGGATTCTTCTTTAGGAAGCTTTCACATAGACTATCTCATTCATACACACAAGAGAGGCGAATCGCTGAGATCTGCCCCCGCAGGCCCAGGAGCTCTTGTGCCCGGGTTGGATCCGGGAATTCAGAGCGTGTGTACCCTCCGGGGAACAGCCCCGGCGCTAGAGGCTCAGGGCAGAAGCGAGGTGGTAGACGCAGGGTTCAAATCAAAATGTGGCCGGATGTCTCCCCTCAAGTTGCGGTCAGTCAATTTCGACCAAAAATGATCGTGATCGCGACAAAAATGATGATGAAGAAACTAACAGCAATAATCTGCCAGACCCTCGCCCTCAATGCACCCGGTCCAAGCCTAGTCCCCGATCCGGTTTGGACCTTCCCCGCTGGGTGCTGGGCAGGGGTCGGCAGCCTTGAGGTCCCTGGAGGGGCGGAGGATCTAAAGGGCAGTTCTGGGACAAAGGCGGAGGGGCGAGCCAAACTCAGGGCGACTGTCGAGGGAGGCGGGGGCGACAGGAGAATGTCCGGGGCCCGCCAGAGGCTCGACTGCGGGGGCAGACACGAAAGGCGGGGACACTCCGGGGGTGGCAGTCGGGGAGAAGGATAAAGGGCTTGGGGGGCGAGGGCGGGAGCCGGGAGAGAAAGTGGGGTGCAGGGCCTGGAGGGAGGGGAGGATGGATGGGGATATACGGGCTCAACGCTGAGGGAAGAAGTACAAAGGTGCTGGGGACCGAGGAGTGAGAAGGTGAGGGCGGAGGGCGGGGAGACGGCGGAGGGGCCAAGGACGGTGTGGGCGTGGGAAGGGGGAAGGTGGGGACTTAAGGGACCGGGGAGGGGGGAAGATGCCGGTGGGAGCGCCGCAGGGAGCCGGGGAGATGCAGCGGGGCCGGGAGATGGGGCGGGGCGCCGGGAGGTGGGGAAGGAGGTCCGGGTAGGAGGGGTCTTGCGGGGGCGGGAGTAAGGGGATGGGAAGCGGGGAGGTGAGGGCGGGACGGCAGGGCGGGGAGGCGGGGAGCGGGCCCGGCCCCCGAGGTTAGCTGGAAAAGTTTGCGCCCGGGCCGGCGGGGGCAGAGGCTGAGGAAGCCGGTCTGGGAGACACGCGACAGGAACCCGGCGCCTAGCGCGGTGGCCGCAGGAACCCGAGCGAGACTCTGCGGCCCGGGCAGTGCCCCCAGCCCCGAGCGCCAAGTCTATCCCGGCGCCCTGGCACCGGGAGGGGAGGAAGGGGTGCCAAGATGCCGGGGGTTCGAGCGCCCTTCTCGGATGGAGGTGAGCCGGCGGGACCTAAGGCCCGGGGTCCCCGGGCTGGGTGGGGGCAGCCAGGTCCGCTTTTCTCACGGATTTCCAGCCCGTCTTCCAGGCCATCCAGCCCATCGCGACGTGGACCCGGGCGGGCGAGCACCCCACATCAGCATCGCCCACTCCCACCAGGTCATCCATTCTGGTGACTGAACCCAGGCAGGGGAAGTGGGGATGGTTCCTTTTTTAACTACAGTTAGAGAATTTAAACGCCGAATGAGAGAAGTGATTCTTCACAGAGAAGCGCCATGGGTCATTTTCCTGGGATAATTACGTTTATACCGCGTCGAATGCGGACCTGGGGGCTCTGGAAGTATGTGTTCTTGTTCTCTTGGGAACATCGTTCTATTTTATTTTCTTCGCCACAAAGTTCCAGCTTTCCTTCTATTTCTCAAACAAGGCAGTCGGGACTGTCGGAACCAGGCGGGGGGCGGGGTTGGGGGAGCGGGAAGAGGAGTCTGGAAGACAAAAGTTCCTATGATGCGGTAATGAGGTTCCCAGGGAAGATCAGTAAGTTATACTCATAACTGAGATAAATCCGGGAAAGTGACAGGACTGGTCCTTCTTCGACTCGATGAGAGGAAAGTGCTAACTTTGCCAGTTTTAACCCCCTGCCCGCACCATAGTCTCCAAATTGTTCTTCTTCTCCTTACTTTCTCTCTTCCTGACGTTGGACACTGCCAAGGACATATTTCTTTGTGGTGTATTTATATTTAGATGTAAGAGAGGGACTTCATGTTGGATTTTTAAAGGGAACATGCTTTACTTTGAAAATGAAGAGCCTGAATCAAGTCTGGCTCTTCCGGAGCTCTGGGTACTTCCAGAATTAGGCATCTTTTTAAAGTCTGGAGTTAAAAGTTGCAGACATTGTACAGAATCCTGATAGTAAAGTGTTAGTCGCTCAGTCCTGTCTGATTCTTCACAACCCGATGGGCTGTAGCCCACCAGTCTTCTCTGTCCTTAGAATCCTCCAGGCAAAAATACTGGAGTGGGTAGCCATCCCCTTCTCCGGGGTCGAAACCCCCATTGCAGGCAGATTCTTTTCCATCTGAGCCATCAGGGAAGCCCTAAAGAATTATGTCTTCATGATTTATGTCTCCAACATTCCTTTCTTCATTGATGAAAATCTTTCAGGCATGGTTAAGAAAAATTTAATTCCTAGAAAGTACAAGGGCAGGATTATGATCTGTGAGTATATGACTAATGAGGATGGTCAAGCTTGTTGCTGATGTAGGTGGTGGTTCTGGTGTGTGTGTGTGTGTGTGTGATGTGATGTGTGTGTGTGGTACTCAAAGAATTGTGGACTCACTGATGCAGAGCTCAGTGCCAGTTTGAATACTTTTGTTACCATAGGCGAACCACACATTGGGTTTTCTCAGTCAGCAAACTTTCATTTTGGGCCTGCTAGTCCAGGCACCCTAGTCTCCTGACACCAGGGATCCGAAACACAAAATCAGCCCTTAAGATACAGATGCAGTGATTCCTCAACTAGTATTCATCTCTGAAAATGCTGCTTTCCTCTTTATATTTGTGAATTCCATTAAATGCATGACTCTCCTAATTTTCTACCATATGTGGATAGTGAAGCTACCATTTCCTATACAAGGCCTATCTACTTTGTATAGGTAGGTACAAATTGGCCTAATGACTTTATGTCTCAAAATTTAGGGACTGATTTTCCTTTACCTGGAAATTATGACACTAATTTGATTCCACGGTATCTCTTTCACCCCCTAAAAATGTTTCAAGACCTACTGTGTATGCATATATTTTTGTTACAAAGACATGGGAATTTGAGCATGAAATAATCTTGAAACATTTGTTGTTGCCCAACTGGAGAAACCTTTTTCTCTGCTAGGACTTGGGACTATGACTCTGGGCTGATACAGCTGGCCTGGCAGCCTTGGGCAATCTACTATGTTGGCCGGTTGGCCAAGACTGAGCGGCCCCAGGCTATACAAGGCTTTCTGTTTCCTCCCTCACATTTGGTTTCATGGTTCCTTTCTTATCAGTTTTGGAGCCATTTGGTATTATTCCCTTGCCATATGTTTTCTGTAAAACTGGTTAATTACCTTAAGAACATTGAAATACACACATTACCATATGGAAAATGAAATAACCAGTGAAGATTTGCTATTTGAAGCAGGGAACTCAAATCAGCTGTTCTGTGACAACCTAGAGGGGTGGAATGGGGTAGGAGGTGGGAGGGAGCTTCAAGAGGGAGGGCACATATGTACACCTATGTCTGATTCGTGTTGATGTATGGCAGAAACCAGCACAATATTGTAAAGCAATTATCCTCCAATTAAAAAACAAATAAATGAAAAAGAGAGATTCCATGAGCTTTTGGAGATGATATGCTAGACTTAGTGGAATCCTGTCTAGCTTTAGTTAATAATACTTTTTAAGTTGCTGTTACAGTTACTAGGCATAAAGTTTCTTTTGTTTTGTTTTTATTCTGTTTTTGAGGAATCACAGAAGCATCTGTGAGAGGCCAGGGAATAGGCCAGTCAGGGAAATCAGTGATGAGGTTGTTCAGAGGAGGGTGTGGAACCCATCGGGTGGTTCTAACCTCTGGTTGGAACCATGAGCTGGAGTGAGAATCCTGAGTCATTTGACTAGGCTCTTTGGCCTTGAAGATGCTGCTCCATTTCCTTGGGGTCAGAGTTTTCCATATATTTCAGTCAAGCCCCCAGATTCAGCATTCCAGCATTTTGCTAGCATAGTAGTGAGAAGTAGTTCGGTTCCAAGTATGCTGGTGGCACCCATGTCGCTAGATAGGTGAGGAACACATGGAAAGGTGATAGTGTCTGGAAGAGCTTATCCCTAATGTGGTGCTCTGGAATCCGATGCCATGGGCATCCAGCCCAGCGCAACCTCTTCCAAGCGGTGCCCCAGGCTCGGTTTCCTCCTGTGTCCATTTGGAAGAAGATGCTGTGGTGGGCTCAGACGTGGTACCTGCAAGATGCAGTGCGCAGAGCACGTGCCATGTCACCGAGTAAGAGTGCCTCTGTGGGAAAGGATGAAAGGAGCCCCACAGTCACCACTTCCCGGGCAGAACACCTCTCATTTTCGTATGCCTGGAGGAACTCATTTCCACCCACTTTGATTCGTGCTGTGACAGTCTTGGTAGGAATTCAGTCCTGTACCCTTCCTTAGAACAAGCAGAGAAGAGAAAGTTTGAGAAAGAAAAGCAATGAAGGTAAAGACCTCTTGCATCAAAAGCATTTGCCCTCAGATTGATGAGCTTGGATGCCCAGGAGAACATGCAGAGAGGCAGATGTTCGAGCTGGACTTGGTTACGGGCACAACCTGCATACATGGGGCTCCCTGGACTGCTTGTGTCAGATCTGTGTTGGCATCTGAGCCTTGTTTGCTCAGAGAATAACCTTTGGAGAAGCTGCAGAAAAGCAGGAAACCTGACCAGGGGCAAACTCACTTCCGCAGTCTGGAGAAGAAAGAGGAAGATGTGGAATCCTGATGTGGTTCATCTATAACAGCGTTTCTCACCAGGAGCTCCACTAATGGGTCCAGAGCAACATTCAGGCGTGCAAGGCTGAGTATGTGACACCTCTTGTATGAACCATTTCTGAAAGCAGAGTGAGGTCATCTAAGAAACCTCTGAGTGAAGGGAAATACTCATTAGCAAAGGAATTTTGTTGGGGCCATGAAACGACCAACTCATTATTTCCTTTCTAAATTCTTCTAAGTGGGGAAAAAACAAAACAAAACACCTTGCTTTCCAAGAAATTTTACTTGTGGACAAATGCTTTGTGTTTTAATTCAGTCTGTGGGATGAACTGGGAGAATATAGCACTTTAAAAATATAACGGCTTGCATCTTACCGGGAGAAATCAATGTCTCACTATCTTATTGTGCTTTTTTTTTTTTTGGCCATTACAAAGAAAAAGAGACAGACCCCAGACTGGTGAAATATTTTCCTTTGTTTTTTTTTTTTCCCTTTTCCTTCTTTTTATAGTTTGTTTATTTTTCAAAGTGACATGAGTAGAGAAAGTGACTCTCCAGCATGGAAAACACATCTGGAATCCATCGGGCCCTGCCTGGCCCCCTTCCCCTCCCTCCCACAGATGCTCTTCCTTGGAATGGAGGGAGGGGGATGGGGTGACACCCCTATGAACCACCTTCTAGACGGCATCATATTCCTTCTCTGCAGAAAGAAAGGCCTTGGTGTTGGAATGCCTTGAGGTAGACTCAAAGACCCCATTTGAATGAGGATGGAGTGAAAACTCAGGTAGCAGATCTCTGTTGAATAGATGGAAGGCAAACCCAGGAGTGGACTTCACAGTGAGATGCAGGCAGTCAAATCCTCACTCAGAGTGGGTGAGGGGAGAAGTCTGTGGGGGTCTGGATGACCTGAGCACAGTTTGGGAGGGAGAGCTCCGCTTATGGATAAAGTAAGGCCTGCTCTCAGGCATAGCTCTGTCGGAATCTGGGTTTGTTGGAAGACCTCTGCACGTGAGCAGGAGCACCCACATGTCTTCTATAACTGGCCAGGTTTTCTGAATGTGTACATGACTAGCTGGTGCCCAGGCACACTTTTCATCATCAGGCTGTATTTTTCAGTATTCAGGTGGAAATTAAGCAGTGATCCAGTTGTTTTTTACAATGGAAAGGCAGATACTGGTCTGGTCACTACCAGCCCCAGACCCTTATCTTTTAAAATAAAATGTGAGCATTTGTAACGTGTAACTCTCACACTCTATGGGGACCTCTCCAGCTACCCACAAAGACAGTTCTCAGGACCACTGGCTGAGACCTGTAAGCCTCTGTGGGGACCCTCCATCAAAACCCAGCCTAGACATCAGCAGTAGGAAGTCCATGGTACCCCTCGGCACACAGGCACATGCTCACGCTGGGGGACATCCTCAACTCATCCTAACAGCACTGCTGAGGACAACAGCACAGGGAAACCACTCCACGTCCACAACCCAGGATGTATCCGTCCACACAGCGGGAGCAATGGGAAGGAGTTACCCACATCTCTCTGCATGACTCACATTGAGCAGGAAGCTCACAGGAACATCACATTGAGAAGAAGATGCCAGGCACAGCTTCATGACTCCATTTATGTGAGGATCAGACACAGGCTAAATTACTGTAAGGGATAAGAATTCCAGAGAGTGGTGCCATTCTAGTGGTTAGTCCATGAGGGATAGGAAAGGTTGGGTCTCCCAGGAGCCCTGGTGCCCACAAATGCCCAGCACTCCTGCAGGGTCTGGGAGCAGCAGGATGGGTGAGCCACGGAGGGCCAATGCCCACCTCTCCATGAGCAGAGCCAGCTGACTCTCAAAGATTCGGGGACCGGGGAGGGGGCAGAGCGTTCTCCCCGCAGACTCAGAGGCTGTGTTCCGTCCCTCCGGATGGAGGCAGGAACTCGCCCATGAGACGGTTTTGACCACGCATAGTGGCATTCAGATCTGTTCAAAATCAATCTGATCTTTGGCCCGGCACAAAACTCTCAGATGGGACCAGCTTTTTAATGTTGATAACCCAAAGAAAATAAGCTTTTGGATTCCAAAGAGAGATGGGTATCTTCCAGTTACCCACAGTGTGGAGACTCGTATTTTATAACAAAAGAGGTTCTGAGAAAATATGTTCCTTGAGTGATACATATTTAAGGGAAATTATAAATCGAGCGTTAGTGGGAAAATGTATTCAGCCTCAGGATTCATGGTTTTGATGGGTTTCTGGCACATCTTAAACTATTGTCATTTTGCTTATTTTCTTGCTGGGTGTTAGTTTTTATTGTTTCCTTTCATACCTTCTACTCAAATTTATCAAAACTGTACACATGGAGGGGGAAAAAAATGAATGTGATTCTGTGGAGCCTGCGGTGTACTTCCTCTCCGCTTTGCTCCCAAGAGAAGTCCACATCCAGCAATTTTAAAGGGACTCGCAGCCCTGCTGTCTGTACTGTACAGCACAGCCGGAGGGGCAGAGACTGTCTAGAAGGGGCCACGAGGTATTTAAGGCCATCGCAGGGAAACTAAGGCACAGGAGAGAAACTTCAGACATACCTGTTTTCAAAAGGCTTTCAGATGCAGTTTCCTGGAGCGGTTTCGCCCCAGTGTGAGTGGAAATTACGGTACAATTCACATTGCTCTCCTTTTATGTAATGTTTGTATATTTTCATCATTCAGGCTGCTCTGGTGCTAAGTCACCATCGTAACTCCTCATGTTATGCTCACCGGTATCAGGTCCTGGGATAGAGGGGCGGCCACCTGGACATGGCAGCCAGTGGCCTGAAGTGGTGGGGGCAGGGGCGGAGGTGGGGAGACGGGGTGTTGGAGGGCCCTCAGGCCAGCTACATGACCCCACTGCCATCAGAGAAAATCAGCCCCTCTCAGGATGCCGCGGCTTCGCGACTCTCATTGGAGCAGCACGTGTGTTCCTCTTCCCTACCTTTGGGTCATGCCTCTTCTGTGAACACGGACATAAGTGGTGCCATGACAGGACATCCATGCCGGAATGCCAAGCACTCTGTCCGGGTTGTGCTCCGGGGTGGGAGGTGGCGGGAAGATAACCAGGCAACTAGGTTCTCCTGTGCCTGCTTTCCTACGACAGCCAGGAAGGGTCAGCAAAGTGGGAGCACAGAGACTGCATTCTCTGTGATGAGCTCACTTAGATGAGCAGTAATGAAGGGCACACGCGTTTACTGGGCACCATTAATGTACGTGGTGCTGTGAGAGGAGAGATGGAGAGGATGAAATAAGGGGCTCCAGGAAAGTGCTCTGAGAGTGTCAGTGGCTGCTCCTATCTCTATGCTTAAAAAACAGTTTGTTTTAAAAAGTGGTGTGCTGGGGCAGGATGATTCCAGAAAATGCCATAGAGCTGGTAGAAGTTGATCTGGAGCCTTAAGGCTCCAATTTAAGTAAAAATGGAAAAGAGGTAAGCTGGTGGGGGCGAGTGGCCCATGAGCTGACCCCCCACCACCCCTGCTTCTGTCTCTGGGAGACCAGGCCCCTTATCACAGACCAAGCGGGGGACCGGGGCTGGGTGGGGAGCCTGCCTCCTGCATGAGGCCTCACAGTGCCCCTGGGTGAGGGGAGGCAGCCCCAGGGTCGGGTGCTGCCTCCAAGGCTCATCAGCAATGTGGGAGACCTTGGCAGGCCCCAACATTTGGTGGTAAAGCTGACTCCCAGCCCTCCATGACCTCAAACTGCACTGAGACACCAGGGGCTCATGTGGTTTCCACAATAAGCCACACACAAAACTCCAGGACATTAGAAGACATCTCTGCAAAGAAGCAGTGGGGCCATCTTTGCCCCATGTCAGAAAACCAGGCTCCCCCAAATTAAGGGAGTGGAGGCTTGACAACATCCTCAGGGCCCTGGAACCAGTGCCCGAGTGGCAGGAAAGCATCCACCTGGAGGGCCGTTGGTCAGGGAGCTCTGTCTGGAGACACCTCTGCTTCTCACTCACAGAGCAGCTACCCAGGCTGAGCCCAGGGTCCTCCTACCCCTGGGGCCTTCTCTGGAATGAGCTCAGCAGTGGTACCAGGCCTTCAGATTCCACTGCACCCCAAAATGCACAGCCCCATTTCTATGGAGAGTGGTCCATGTGCCACCAAGCCAAACTGAGGGCTGTGACTTAAACTTATAAAAGTTAAAAAAACTTCACCAGATCCACACAGTAGGCTGATGTAAACTGACCTTGTTTGAGTTTGGTTATATATTTAAATATTCAAATAGTTTTAATTTAGAATCAGTGCATTTAGCAAAAACCATTTCCCCCTTGGTAGTCGGGGCTGCTCTGCCTTGGACACCACAAGAAGCCTTTGGATAAAGCTGCATGGGGGTAGGGGGTACGTAGAGGTCCAGAGGGGGAAGGGCCATTGGAAGCCTGGCTCTTGGGCTCTCTGATCCGCTGTCACTGGTGCTCCAGATTGGTTGTTTCTTTCCATTCACAAACACCAATTTAGTTTTGGCAGTTTCGACAGATGTATCTAAACTCTGAATTTTAAGCCAAACTCAAAAATCCACTTGTTTGTCCTTGCTCTTCTTCGTTTAGTCTCAGTAGCGGTTGATTCCACTTTTACAGGTTTATATTCTTTCTTCCCCTGGCTCCACGATTAGCTGCTCGCTCAGGGACTGGCCCTGTGGGCCCTGTGTGGGCTGGACCAGATGGTTTGTCTCTGAGCTCTCTGTGGGGCAGACCTGGGGGCCATCTAGATTTGATTTCTGGTCTTGGCCCTGGTCCCAGGGATTCCAGGGAAGTGTGACTACTTCCTACAACATTGTTTGAAAACCCACCAAGGAGGTTTCAGGAATCAGTGGGCTTTATTCTGAATTCCATCCTATTTTTGCGACCTGACATAATCTCTGTTTCTCAGCAACTGGGAATAGGGTTTACCAGCTCCTGTGCAGGAGATGGGGCTCCCCAGGTGGTGCTAGTGGTAAAGAATCCACTCACCCATGCAGGAGACACTAGAGATGTGGGTTTGATTCCTGGGTTGGGAAGATTCCCAGGAGGAGGGCAACCCACTCCAGTATTCTTGCCTGGAGAATCCCGTGGACAGAGGGGCCTGGTGGGCTGTAGTCCATAGGGTCACACAGAGTTGGACATGACTGAAGCAACTTAGCATGCATGTATGCACAGTAGATGAGTATGAACTGGTTAGCGTTCCTAAGTGCCTTGAGATTTCCAGGTGGAAGGGTTCTTCGGGTTTAAATCCGTGTGTTTGGATTACATGATTGAATGATGACAGTGCTCGATCACAGAATTTCCCTCCTTGGCAACTGCAGACAACAGAATTGCTTCTTCTGGTCTCCATAGTCACATAGGAAGTTGGCCTGGGTTAAAGGCCCTCTTTGGGCCCTTATGGACCAGCCATCCAAATGCTTCAGCATTCTAGTGCCTTTCTCCAACTTTGTTGCTGCTGTTGTTTTTAGGTGCTGTTACTTTATCACTGGGCCCTCTCTCCTTTTATCTTTTCCTAGGAGCCTATTCTCAACACCCTAGCCGGTGTCTGGCCTGGATCCCTGTTGCAGCCTAAGCGGAAAGCTTTGTTTTCCCTGGAAATGGACGTTCTCGGCGCGCCCTCTGGTGGATTCAGGAGCTAACTGATTGTGAGTTCCTAGTGATGGCAATGATTCTCACGCCACGCCCCAGATCTTACCCCTCCAACGAGACCCTGCGCGAACATTACAGCTACGTGGGCAAGCTGGAGGAGAGGCTGAAGGGCGCTTCCGAGGGCAGCACGCTCACCACCGCCCTGTTCTTGATCATCTGCAGCTTCATTGTCTTGGAGAACCTGATGGTCTTGATTGCCATCTGGAAAAACAATAAATTCCACAACCGCATGTACTTTTTCATTGGTAACCTGGCCCTCTGCGACCTGCTGGCCGGCATAGCCTACAAGGTCAACATTCTGATGTCGGGCAAGAGGACGCTGAGCCTCTCCCTGACGGTCTGGTTCCTACGGGAAGGCAGCATGTTTGTGGCCCTTGGGGCGTCCACCTGTAGCCTGCTGGCCATTGCTATTGAGAGACACTTGACCATGATCAAAATGAGGCCGTACGATGCCAACAAGAAGCACCGTGTCTTTCTTCTGATCGGAATGTGCTGGCTCATCGCCTTCTCGCTGGGCGCCTTACCCATCCTGGGCTGGAACTGCCTGCACAACCTGCCCGACTGCTCCACCATCCTGCCCCTCTACTCCAAGAAGTACATCGCGTTCTGCATCAGCATCTTCATAGCCATCCTGGTGGCCATCGTGATCCTGTACGCACGCATCTACTTCCTGGTGAAGTCCAGCAGCCGCAGGGTGGCCAGCCCGCACAACTCAGAGCGGTCCATGGCCCTGCTGCGGACCGTGGTGATCGTGGTGAGCGTGTTCATCGCCTGCTGGTCCCCGCTCTTCATCCTCTTCCTCGTGGACGTGGCCTGCAAGGTGAAGGAGTGCGCTGTTCTGTTCAAGGCCCAGTGGTTCATCCTGCTGGCCGTGCTCAACTCCGCCATGAACCCCGTCATCTACACGCTGGCCAGCAAGGAGATGCGGCGGGCCTTCTTCCGACTCGTCTGCACCTGCCTGGTCAGGGGCCGGGGCGCCCACTCCTCACCCATCCAGCCCGCTCTCGATCCAAGCAGAAGCAAATCCAGCGGCAGCAACAACAGCAGCCCCTCCCCCAAAAGCAAGGAAAACCTCCCCCAAATGGCCGCCTCGCCCTGCATCACCGACAGAAACAAAACCCTGCAGAACGGAGTCATCTACAAGTGAGGGTGCGGGCCTCAAGGAACCCGGGGTCCTTGCATCGCCACAGGAACAGCGGCAACCAACCCTGCAGCCACGTTCTTCTGGATTGCATGCCTCACCCATGGGCGTATTTCCAGAGCTGGGACTCGAGAAAGCTGTTCTGCCAACAGCTGGCCTGGCTGGTGTGGATGTCTCTTAAGGAGGGCACCCAAGGAATTGCTGATGCATTTCATTGCAGACATCGTGCCTTGTCCATTTAGGCTCTAGGGTCTTCCAAATGTACCAAGCTGCTGATGTCATCAGCCGCCTTCCCCTGAATCCCCCCTCCCCCCTGGCCTCTGTCTGGAGAGGGAAGGTGTTGGACCACACACACTGTGCAGTGTGTTTCCCAGGAACATCATCATCCCAGGATGATGTTCGGTGACTACACTACATTGGCTGTGCACAGATGGAGGCTGTATAGTCATTGTTCCGGTGTTACAGAGCACTTGCGTTTCAAATGTCTGCCACTGGCGCATGTGTAAGCTGAGGTACATAGTGTCCTTATGTAACAGGAGTACAAGTAAGTTCTGGCTGAACCAGCAAGTTTGAGGGTGTGACTGGGAACTAGTTGGACAGGCCAGTCCCAGTCTCTTCAGACTGACACAAAGTGTCATGTTAAGCAGGTCTTGAAAGCGCAGCCCCTCTAAAAGGGCTTGTCTGAGGCTGGTGTCAGATGTAAGCATCTGACCTCCAACTGTTCTGAGATGCCCTTGACAGCATCTGGAGGATCCAGGAGGGAACGAGTGAGTTCTGTGGACGTACGTCCCCCAAGGGGACCCCTGCTTGTCTTTTCGTCATTTCTCCCTGAGGAGTCTTAAGCTCATCCAAAAGTCAAATTAGCCAAATTACCCAACTGTTTGGGGTTTCTCCAAATCCAAGAAAAGCCAGCCAAGGTATTCCAGGAGCCTGTGCCCCACACCCATCAAGGAAAGAATCCAAGAGGGAGAAGCAGAGGACAGACCCCTGGCCCATTTCACCTTTCCAACGTAATGGGGAGTTTCTGTTGAATTCGAAGATGCTTACAGGACAGCACTGTGATCCTGTGTTGAGTTTGAATCTGTATCGGAAAAATACCAAGTTAGTTCACCCCCCTATGCTGTTACAGCTGAGCAGCTGGGGCTGTCCACAGCCCCATGGATTCCTGAAAGCTGACCCTGACCGCGACCATTAGAGCAGTTTAATTGTGATCTGGCAGTTTGTGTTTTCTTCAAAGAGATGTAGCAATACTGTAATCTTTCATTTTAACACAGGCTGACCCTGTATCACTCTTTATCTTTAGAAGGAATTACTTAGAAGGCATTTTTGTACACAGTCATCCCCAAGGATTCTTCATGAAGTACAAATGGATGAAAAATACACAAATTTGCAGAACTGTCATAAGAATATAGTTGATGTACTGAGTCTTCTGTTTTTTAAAAAGATAAGAAGGAACCTTCAAAAGGATTACCTTCAAAAGGTAAGCCTCACTTCAAAACCCCTGAAGTTTTTAGGTTCAGTGGGAATTTTGCCTGAGTAAAGACTAAAAAAGTAGTCTTAACACATAAATAACTTTTCAGAGAAAAAGTGACTCCTCTTTGTAATCTCATGCCAGTTCCTCTTAATTAAGGTACATTTTTGTGGGTCCTGGGTGACCATGTACCACCCAACATCTTTCTTAATTTTTGTTGCTGATGGAGATAAATCCTATTTGCAAGGACATGCTCATCAGTGGCATTTTAATTGTTTTCATTGCATCACTGAAAAGGAGCTTATTCTCTTGTCAAACAGCCTGAGAAAACCCAGAGCATTTATAGAAAAGTTAAGCATTAAGATCCTGGGTTAAGAAAATAACAACAAAATTGACTCAGAGAGCCAAAATATTGAGTATTGCATTTTGTCTTCAGTGGTAAAATGACTTAAGAACTTTATATATTAGTTCTGAGTTGCTTGGGGGCTCCAGCTCTCTGGCACTAAAAGTAATATAACACTGCACCATAACCTCGACTTTTTTTTTGAGGGAGCATAACATTTTCAATCAATCTGAATGAAAAATACTCCAAAACAGTCATTGTGTCTGTTTGATATAGGCAAAAAAAATAATAATAATCAAATTTAGCACCAAGTGTCGGAGAAGGAGATGGCAACCCACTCGCGTAATCCTGCCTAGGAAATCCCATGGACAGAAGAGCCTTGTGGGCTACAGTCCATGAAGTGGCAAAGAGCTTACATGACCGAGTGACTGAACAACAAAAAGTACCAACTATACAATCCTAACTAGCTAGCTGATCATTTAGAAGTTGAGTATGTCAAAGTCACAGAGAACCTGTGTTAGCGCTCATTCAGTTAGTAACCTTCATCGAATCCCATGTATGGTTGTTAAAAAATATAAAATAAAATGAAAGCCTTTGTATAAACTGGTTGTCGGGAGTCCACGTGGGGAGCTGTGTACACTAAGGCCGCCCCTGGTGAGATGCAGAGTGTTAGCCGGAACTCTCACCTGCTGCTCGTTGTCTCTCCGGGTGTTAAATCACTCAGAACTCTAGTAGCATCTTCCGTGTACTTCCCAATAGCAGAACTGGTGTTTTGGTGGAATAGCACCCAATACACCCAAGTTTCCTAAAATACCAGCTCTGCTTGTAGGAAGTGGCTCAGATGGTAAAGAATCCACCTGCAATGCGGGAAACCCAGGTTCAATCCCTGGGTCAGGAAGATTCCCTGGAGAAGAGAATGGCAACCCACTCTAGGATTCTTGCTGAAGAATTCTATGGACAGGGGAGCCTGGCGGGTTACAGTCCATGGGGTTGCAAAGAGTCAGATATGACTGAGCAGCTAGCACGTTCACTTTCCACCAATTTTGGTAGGTCAATAGGGAAGGAGGTCAATAGACTACCCTTTCAATAGGGAGAAAATTCTAAGAATCCTGGCAGCCAAAGAACAGTCAAAAGAGATGGGACGATGGGTTCTGCTCGATTTGGTGCAATGGAGGCAACAGGAGAGACTTGATAAACGAGCCCTTTCTCTAGCTTTTTCCATCACAGATGGTAAGTTTTCACCTCTCCACCCTGTATTCTTACATAGAAGGAAGCCAGTGTTTGGCATCACTAGTTGGTAGTGATATTCCTGAAGAAATCTGCCCCCAGAAGTACCTGTGGGTGTATATTCATCATTTCTGTGTTACAGAGCACTTGGACTTCAAATGTCTGCCGTTGATACATGCGCAAGCTGCAGTGTGTGGTACCATTATGTAACAAAGACCGCAACCTACTGCCACCTTTACACTGTCCAAGGCCAAGTGGGCAGAAGTTTATCTAAATCCCATCAGGAATGCTTCTATCAAACTGCCATTTTTATCTCACACCTTTGGTGTCCCCAACAGGACTCTGCTGTGATTGTATTTTAAGAGGTCTCCTAGGGAATAATTGAGAATATCTGCTTTCTATGGAAATGTTTCCAACCCCCCTCCTCTCCTTCATGAGGCAATACAAGATCCACCATCCAAATGAGAGACTTTCACAATATTCTTTATTGCCCACAGACTCACATTGACAGTCAGTTAACATCAGACTATTTAGAGAACAGTTGTTTCTCTCCACCCTTGACCCATGGTTCTTCTACACTGGAAAAGAGCCTTTCACAGAAATGTATTATTAACGAGGTGTACATTATAGAAAACTTGTAGTTAAATTACCAAGTCCATGCTTTTAAATGTATCTACGAGTGCAAAACCTCCACACTCAAATGTTTTTAGTATCTAAGTCAAATATCAAAGGGTTTGCTACATAATCAGAAACGCACACACCACTATTCTGAAAATGAAGGCACATTTTCCAATAACCAGTGACAAGGAGTGCCGTCGCGCCTAAGTGGGAGTGACAACCTCTGCTCCTGGGCCATGGTGGTGACGCACAGAAATGCCACGTGGCACCTCCAGCTGGCTGCCCTGGAAGCTCAGGGATGTGCCCGGCCTGGCAACAGAGCTCACAACAGGAAACCACATCATTTACTGACGGAGCGACGTGGAATCACTGAACGTGAGGAGGGAATTTAAGCCAATTCTCTTCGCCCACTGTGTTGTCAAAGCTCCCAGAGGTTAGGCAAATAATTTCAGTTTCATTATCTTTCAAAGAACAGAGATTAGAAAACTTGAAGTTGATCTTGTGTTTCCACTCCTCAGAGATCTCCAACACCAATTCTTATCCAGTAGCAACATAGAAAGTGGTAAATTGGCAATAAACCAGAGATCTTCACAGGAATTCTTTTTTGTTTCACAAAAGTTAATGGAAAATAAACACGAAATTTTCAAATATTTACCAATAGGTATAATTTCCCATCCAAATGCTTTTTTAAAAGTAATAAATATCTCATTATTACACATTAGATGTACACGGGACGGAGTTCTCTCCTAATCCTTGGATTTAAGCATCAAATTTTAATTCTTATTTAGTTCTGGATACAAAGAAACATTCATGTCCTTAATTTTACAAGATTTACTCTGGAACAAGTTACATTCAAAAGGATTCAAAGGAACAGAGAACATTCCACTTGCAACCAACATATAATTGTTACAAAAACATTTATTCAGTGTTCAAAAATGGATTTGTCTATTGATTTCTGCTTTAATCATCCCTTGATTCAGTGGTTAGAAACTTTGGTTGTGGTAAAAACATCCCAGATGAGTGTGAATTCATGACTTCAGTCACCCAGGGCCGCAGCACATGTCCCCATGTGTGTGTATTTCTGCCTACAGCACTTCAAGGTGAAACAACAAAATAGAAACTGGAAATTGTATGGGATTTCATTTCTCGTGCCTTCTTCAATGAGAATGCCTCTTCCACACCTTAGCCCTCAGGAGGGAGCCCCGTGTGTTTGGGCCTAAGGGGGTCATTATTCTGGCCATCTGTGGTCATGAGAAGGAGGCAAGAATGAGGCAGGAGCACCCCAGGGATGCCTCCAACATCCCTCCCAACCCTGACCGCTGTTCAAGCGTGAGGGTGTGTCTGCCT